CATTTTATTAAACCACGGAAAGTGGTGGAGGAGAAGAGATTGGTTTTGCTATCTATCTCCGAGTCCACTGTCATAAAATCGGTCAAGCTTGTCCAGAAGATCGAACAAAGGAAACCTGACTAGATTTGTGCACAGGTCAAAGTCTTTGATATAATTGCTCAAGGACGGCTCAGGGACGGCCATGCCACCATCCTCGTATGCGGGCCCCTGCTTGCAATACGAAGAGCACTGCAGTTTGCCGTTGTTTCCATCAAACACTGCTGCATTGTTTTCCCTCCTGTACGACACGAGCTCGACCTAGCAAATCGAGTCACACGGAATAGCTCTGTTTTTGTCGTTGGGAGAGGGGCCGTTGCTGATGCGTATTCATCTGGGTCATCTCTCCATCGAACGGCCCACGTGCTTGTCTGGCGACAATTTCAAGTTAACATGACATTGAGACTCCAAGAAATCAAGAGCACAGTGTTCTGTATGTACAGAGTTGGTGTATTGACAGGTAGCGATTGTCGCATTAGTTGGTAAGTCTAGGTTATTACAATTTATCATACAGAAGTCGTCGTGTCGGCCGTTAAAAGAAAAGGAATGCATAGCCGGAAAGTCTTTCGCGACGACTTCGTCACTTCAAGAGTCCAGCGAATGTTGATCCCCTCCAGCGGAGAGACAGAAGTCGGGAGCAACACTTTTTCGAGAGGATCGGATTCATCTCTCTACTGCGCCTTCTTAGCCTTGTCCAGCTTCTTCTCCCGTCTACGCTGGTGGGCTTCGGCGCCGGCCTCGGTGTCCATAAGGTAGTCCCACCACCGGAAGCTAGACGCGTAGTTGCCGATGAATTTCTCGTGGTGCACGTCGTGGTGCTCGGCGCCGGCCCAGAAGGGGAGGAAGTGCCTCAGAGACCAGGGGAAATCGTAACCGGAATGCGAGTCGATGGCTTGGAACAGGCGGAGGACAATCCACATGTACATGGTGAAGAGGTGCAGGTCCTTTGTGATGAGGACCCATAGAACGGGGGACCCAACGGTACCGAGACCAAGGAACATGACCTCAATCGGGGAGGCGTACTCGGCCGTCATGCCAAAGGGGGCCGAGTAGTAGTGGTGCATCTTGTGGACGGCCTTATACAGGGGAGGCCAGTGGGCACCGCGGTGCATCCAGTAGTGCCAAGTGTCCTCGAGGACGAAGAAGATTGCGATCTGGTAGGCCATCTTCCACCAGGCGGGGAAGGGCACGCCGTAGTCGAGGCCGCACCAAGTGGCGATGGGGTGGAAGAGCCAAATTTGCGGAAGCTCGACGGTGAAGTGACTGAAGAGAACCAGGGCGCCGCATTCAAATTGCTCTCTCCAAGTTGGGATTTTTTGCTGCTCAAGGTTAGCGGCTGGTACGGGTGGTAGTCGTTCATGTCTGGGGTCCTGCTAAATGCATTGGACATGGCGGATATGGAATGACGTGCCTGTTGAATCTTCCACCTGCGGAAGTAGGGGATGGCGTCGATAATGATCCATGGCAGACTGCGACCAAAGTAGACGACTTCGTGCATGACAAAGGTCATGATGCCAGTGGCGAGGATGTCGTTCTGCATCCACAGGTACCACGCCGCCCATAGGCGCTCGATGGCGTTGAGCTGGACGTTGTACTTGTTCACATCGTCGAGTACGCCGAGGTAGGTTGTGGTAGATGTCTGGTTGGGAAACACGACGGTCGAATTCCTAGGAGAGCGTCGTGTGTAAGCAGATGGTCAGCTTGTAAGGCAGGCGAGAAGTTGCGGTTGGCTTACCAGGACGCCATGGTATCAAACGCACCCCAATGCAGGAGAGACGAACTAAAGCAAGGTGATGTGCAACTCTCGAGATGCAACAGCAGCAACCAGACCAGAAATGAGAATCTGGCAGAATAGCGAAAGGGGCCAAGTTGAATTAATAAACATCCGCGTTCGGTGGAGACTGCGCGTGTTGGCGTTGAACGGGCTTTGGAAATGGATGGTTCTTCTCGAAGGGCGGCGAGGCAGGGGTCCAGACGCCGATGGGACGATAAAAATTCACCGGCATCCGCTCAGGTGTGGTACGATAACTTGCATGTTTTGCTGTGCCTGTTCGTCTCGGAGACACTGGAGAACTTGAACATGAATCCACCGATCCGAATACGAAATGGATGAGTTGCGCCTCGACGACCATCGCCATTGGCTCATTGTGAAGCTGATGAGATTGGCGAATCTGGTGACAGCTTCTCATCGCCTGCTCTTGGTGAATGGCCCGGAGCCGTGTGTTTCCAGCTGAAGAGAGGCACAGAGGATCCATTCTCCATCCCCGGGCGACCCACTTCCCGGTGGTCTGTTTGTGGTGTGATTTTGTCCACCGCGCTTGAGTCCCCGAGATTGCCGGCCTCAGGGGCAGCGTCTGGCGCCCACAGTCTGGTTCGGTCCGTCCTGAGCTTGCAGATGGGCTTCTGAAGCGCCGAGACAATGTAATGATGATATTTGACGCTGCGACGGGCATTGAGTGATTTCTCGTTCATAGCCATTTCCAGCAGTTGTTGGGGCCGAGCAACATGGCAGATGTGTGGTCCGCGTGATGATCTGCCACTACGGAGTAGATGGGCAAGGCGAATATTGCAGCTCTATCCATCGGGTTGATGAACTTTAAGGCGTCTTCTGAGTGCGGATAAGTTAGGCCTAGCTGGTACTGAAGTTTATCGCCGTCTGCGTAGTATGATTGCGCATCCGGATCGGACGCAAGATGCCCGGCATACTATGCACGTCTTCGGCGCGCTGACGGATCCGCCGGCCGACGATTGTTCGGTTTTCAGCTCGCCGTTCTGGCCCATGTGGCCACAGACACGCGGCGGTCACTCGATCCGCGATGGAGCAGTGCCGAACTTGTTTGCAACGGCCAAAGGTGGACACTCTCCGGGTCTGTTGGTGTCTTGATCGGAGCAGCTCGACAGGTGAGGGACGGAACATGCGGTGTGGAGATGATGGCCCATCCCGGCCTTGGAGGTGTCCGGACACGGATGCCAATATTGACCCTGGCTAGCGATAGTGGTGCATGTTGGAACTTGGATAAACATGGGTGCGTAGATTGCTTCCGATGCTCAAGTCTCGCTGTCGCTGGTTCGTCATCAACTTCATCGAAGACTCCAGGTTGGCCATGGCCATCCTCCCTGCTAGTGACGCCAGCGAGTGTGGATCCGTCACGTCACCGGACCTTGGGGTTCGGATCAAATGAGAAAAAGGCTTGATTTGTTGTTATCGATCGCTGTTGGAAGAAAGATTGGCTGGTAGCCGTACCGACTGATGTGTCGGTGGCTACCATACCTTGCATGAGAAGCGTTCCTGACATCTTGCAGAGCAGCGGTAGGGGACCGGATCCAGGCCTCAGAACATTTTCCAAGGCTTTTAAAAAGTGAATGGAAGCAGAGAGAATCGTCAGGTCTTTCTTGAGCCGTATCGGGGTTCCCAAACGCGTGGAGAAGGTGAGGCAGAAGAAATGGTGTGGTGATGCATTTTTTGGTGTTGAGTGGAACTTCGGAGGTTCAAGTGTGGCTGAGGACGTCGGCGGTTCCGAAGCTCCGACTGTGGCTCAACTGAGGCGGTGCGCATCAGCCACTTACCGCCAGCCACGCGACGACATTCGCGCCCAAAGCTCACGCAGCTATCCACCACACGCACCAACACGAAGCGCGCCCGCACACCGCACACCGCATCGCAAGGCAGCCACGGAAGCGAGCTCTCAGTCCGTCTCGGCGGCAAGGGGGAAAAAGAGGCTCAGCAGGTTCTTTGCCCTGGTCTCTGACCCCGTACAGACCCCGTCGAGACCCAACCTCCTCCAGTCATCTCCCTAGTCACGTCGAGTCCGCGCCCACCTCGTGACCTCAGAGGCTCTCAGTCAAGATGACCCATCGTCGGCCAGACCAGGGTGTCTTTGTTGTTTATCCAAGTTCTTGTTCTTGTTCTTGATGCTGGGTTGGGCTGCAGGTCGTCACTTGCGAGGCCATCTTGGACGTGGCCCTGATTCACGCACACGCATAACAGCAAATGTCGTGAATCCCCTTCAAAGTGTCGTCACGCTGTTCTTTTCCTTGCCTTTCTCCTGGTCGACTCTTGGCAAGTCTTTACCTTCATTTTCACGCGACCTTTGCCCGCTGCCGCTATCGCATTCGAGCTTTCCATCCTTCGCATCTTCCCTGGCGCTTCGGCTACTATAGACGAAGACATTCACGAATTTTGAACTACGAAGAAAACAACAACGACGAACAATAACTTTGTTTGACTCGGAAGGGAGGAAACAATGGGATACATTGCAAACACACCCGAGGAGCGCCTCGAGCGGTCAGACTCTAAAAATCCAAAGACAACCTGCAAGGGCCTCACAGGCGCGGGAAACCTATGCCGCAACTCAGTCACGCCTGCGAGGGGCAAGATGCTTTCGCCAACGGTCAAGGAGGAGTCGCTCTACTGCCACCACCACAAAGACCAGGCCGCAAGCCGCTCTGCACAGTCGAGTCCCGGCCCTAGGCTGTCCGGCAGACCCATCCTGGAAGAGCGAACGAGCATCGACACCCTCGCGGACCGTCTTGGCCTGGTGGATGTAGGCTCCAACCCAACCAAGAAACAGAAACGACCACAGGGAGGTCGGCTCAGCGGCGGTAGTGGGACGCAAACCACGAGCGCCTCGAAGCCGCCGTCGGCATATACACGTCCGCCGCAAAAGGAGCGCAAGGAACTGCACCTTTGCTGCTGCTTCAGCATCCCCATCGACGAAGTCCAGGAATCCCAGCCCGCCCCTCGGCCCCAGCCGCGACCGGTGCAGAACGGCGGCTCCGCGGCCATGCCCCGGCCCTCAAGCCAGCTCCTGGCCCCTTCGAACTCGCGCCCGCGACCGAGCACGTCGAGCCACTCCCGAAAGAGCTCTCAGCAAGCGTCCCCTCAACCGCTCTCGACGTCCCAGACAGCGCAGTACCTATCTCTCATCCCTCCATCGACCGACCCCCAGACAGCATCGGCGCTCATGGCGGAGTTGGCGAGGCCGTACGGCAACTCTGAAGAAGCGGGCTACATCTACATGTTTTGGATCACCCCGACAACCAAAAAGGAGGCGGCCCCCGTGCAGGAAGCGAGATCCCTGCTTGCACCGCCTTCGCCAGCCCGGGGCGTGGGACGCAACCGACGGTCTAGCGACGTGGTATCGGCCTTTGCAAACGCCAACGGCGGCGCATCGGGAGACAATAAGATGCTCATCAAGATTGGAAGGGCGCAGAACGTCCAGCGCAGGATGCAACAGTGGACAAAGCAGTGTTCCTACGAGATTGAGGTCCTGCGGTACTACCCGTACATACCGGGAGCGAGCGCAGCATCGGGACAACAACCGCGCATGACGCCGCATGTGCACCGCGTCGAGCGGCTCATTCACATTGAGCTGTCGGGCATGGGACTGCATGCCGGGCCCATAACGTGTGCCGGATGCACCTCGGTGCACCGCGAGTGGTTTGAGGTGCAGACGTCCAAGAAGGGCATTGGCGCGGTGGACGATGTGATTCGGAGATGGGTTGACTGGGACGAGACGACTGTTTGAGTCTGGCGAGTTGATCAGACTTTGCTCAGGACTACTTTTGGAGTGCCTGCCAAGTGGTGATCGAGTGATCATTAGCTGCTAGGCCTATATTGTTTTTACTTGCACTCATTGCATGGCGGACGGCGCAAGGGGATCTTTCATCGCATTCGAACCTCGTATAGCATTTCAATCAGCATCACAATAGTATAGCACGCAGCAACAAGACTTCGGGGCAATAACAGAACCCTGCATTTCGGCAGCTGCCCGCGGGCCTCGACCGGTCGGGAATCCGCCGGTTCGGGTCACCAAGAAAAGACTCATGAATACAGACGGAGTACGGATATTTCTTAGACATTTCAGTATTACGTTTTACGTTTCCTCTGCAGGTTGATGCAATTTCAAAAGCCGATGGCGCAATTTTGAATCTCGACCCATGGCCTCCACGGTTCCTGGGCGGGTGGCAGCCGTATCCCAACCTCAGCTGAAGACAAGGTTCAGTTACGGGGACTATGACTGGAATATCAAAAGGAACACAAACTGTAAGCATCCCACGCTGCTACAGTTTCCATGTGTCATTGTGGTTCTCTTCTTGGCTGAAGACTCGGGCTCTTTGGCCCTTGATCAACTTGTCCAAAGTGTTTAACTCTTGTAAACTCTTGATCATTACTGCACCTACGGAGAACGGGTACATACAACGTCACGGTCTTTGCGTCTCATAGCCAAGAGTACAGGCAGCACAAACCAAAGGTAGACTGATACAGTATGTACAGTTTGCTCCAGGTGTCCAGCAAAAGTCGAGGACGGCACGGATGTGGCCCGACGGTGCCACCACCTCCCGCCCACCCTGCTCGTTGCATGCAGCATCCTGGGAATGCTGACGAGCTAATGCAGAACCAGAGGGACGGCGGGGGACACCACCGTTGGAGCCTTGGACTCTGCTCTGGTCCTCTGGAGGTGTGAGCGTCGGGGCGTCCCCCAGTCTCGAGGCCAAACTCTCAGTGCTCTCCATGCTTTCAAGCTCTGACTCGGACCGAGTGAGTAAATATCGACTGGTCGCTCAGTGTTGATGTTCAAGGTTCATTCGGTCATAACTCAATGCTTTGGTCTCACAGGAAACAAACAGAAGGATGACTGTTGAGGAGAGTCTCACATATCAGATCATCAGCCAGACATCCGTCTCACTCATCATTCCTCGCCCTGCCAAGCTTGTTGTTCCCGCTTGCCGAGCAAGTGCCTCATCTCTTGGCCATCTCTTGACAATCTCTTGGACTTTTTGTTTCCCGCTCAGAGGGCCGCTCGCTGCTTGGCACTGGCACAAATCCTCCGAGCAAACACGCACCCACCAACAAGCCCTACTAGTCTGTTAGTCTATTAACGGACGGCAGCGTCACTTCATCAGGACTGGAGGGGGGGACTGGCGGGGGGCTGACCGGGGACGACGTCACTAGCTCGAGCAAGCTTTTCTGGTGGCGCATCTTCCGATGCTTGTCGTTGCTTGTCTTTTGCTCGTCCTTTTTGGCATTTTTGCTTGTCTCTTGTCGATCGCTGGTGTCGCCCCCAGGAACTCAATTGGCTCTTCAACGACATTGAGTCTCGCAAGGACTGAACCGGTGCCCGGCGGCGCCGCGGTCGTAAGAAACGTTCGTTCTACTCGACCCGCTAGAGGGTTTAGACTGGTCTCCAAGTGTCCAATGCCATCTCTTGAACGACATATTGACGGGGATAGCAACAAGCTCGCCTCCTCACAGATGCCCTACTGCAGATACTGGCAAGGTAGACAATAACCTAGCACGGCTAGGTACCTACCTCCAAGACTCCAACAGTCTTTCCCAGCCGCGAAGCCATCCGCGATCCATCCAGTTCCCTTTTGAGAGAAGCGCCGCCTGTAGTTGGACGTCTTCCCCATATCTTGCAATGACGTGCTCCGCGAGCCTGGGCCGGATTGTGATCCCTTTCGACGTCTCTGCTTCTCGAGAGCTTTGAGAGGCTCTGAAATCTCTGACCGGGGCGGAACTCGAGTTCCACCCACGCACCGGGGGAGACCCTTCTCCTCCCCTTGTTCCTCTCTGCATGCTTTCACATTTCCTGGCTGCATTGGCTGGTTTCTGACTGGAGGATGTCCGCTGGCGGGTATCGTAACATCTGGCGGACGTATTCAAGCAACTTTGCCATGGTCGAAATGTGTCGAACGACTGGCAAAAGTGACATGGCAATTCACCTGCTCTGTGGTGCCTCTTGAGGTATCGCCATCATCTTTGACCAGGCGAAATCCCTCTGCTCTCTCACGCTCTCTAGGGATAACGCCATCCGCACACCCTTCTCGGTTGCTGTTGTCTGCACATACTCGATCTACCTGCTGCAGTCTCCTGCAAGTCGCATGCAACGAGTTCCTCCCATCGCTTCCTCCGGCCCAGTTTGCACTCCTGGTTCGCAAGGAACCCGCGTCCGTGGCTCCAGCCCTTGTTCGGCCGTTCCCAACTTCCCATGTCACCTTGCCATGTCGCATCTCTCTTCCCAACTGCCGGGATCATACTGCTGACGCCTGGCTAAGCTGATCTTTTTCCTCTTCACAAGTAGCTCGTAGCTCTTTGCCTCTTCCTCCTTCTCCTCGTACCCTTAAAACTCGCACGTCCTACGTGCTCGCGCATGCTCTCCGTCATCCTGTGCCTGGAGTCTGTTCCGAACTCTTCCTCCTTCTTGTCCTCGTCCCTGCGCCTCGTCCCTCCTCCTCTCCTACACCTCCGTCTCTTCTCTTCTTCATCCGCCGCTCTGCCACTTGAGCGTCCGTGATCCGTCCCACCATATCGTCACACCAGTATACCATTACGCCATTGCCATCGATATCATCACCCACCCGCATCGCGAAACTCCGTCGCCTCTACCCCTCCATTTCCCAGTGTCACCCGGCGCATCGCCGCGACTCAATTGGCGCGCCATGGATAAAGACCTTCGCCAACCCGAGCCCACGTCCAACGACAAGGGCTCCTCCGAGCTCGCCTTTGCCCACGCCGATGCCGAGACGGGCGGCTCCTCCGGCTTCAGCGCCTGGTTCGGCGGCCGCAACACAAAGGTCGGCCCGCGGATTGCGCCTCGCAAGGAGGGTGTCGGAGAGGGCTCCGACAGCGAAGACAGCGCCGATGCCATCTTGACCAAGCAGCTTGCCGAGGAGAACAGCCATGCGATCAAGTACAGGACGTGCAGCTGGCAAAAGACGGCCGGCCTGCTGTTTTCCGAGTACATTTGTCTGGTGAGTTTCCGTCTTGGGGGAGATGTAGCGCGTGGCGCATCGTGCTGACCGACCAAAGGCCATTATGAGTTTCCCGTGGTCGTATAGTATTCTTGGACTGGTGCCCGGATTGATCCTCACTGCCGTCATCGCGCTCGTTGTGCTCTACACGTAAGTTCCGACTCCCTCGCCCAGCTCGCCTCGACATAATACTAATTGCCCATATAGATCTTTGGTCCTTTGGCAATTCTGCATGAGACACCCCGAAGTTCGCGACGTCTGCGATATCGGCCAGATGCTGTTCTGGGGAAAGACATGGGCCTGGTACGCTACGGCTGTCATGTTCATTCTGAACAACACTGTATGCCTCTTCTCCCCGTCGACAACAAGGGCGCATTGCTAACACTAGGCGCGTAGTTCATTCAGGCTCTACACGTGCTCGTTGGCGCCAAGTATCTCAACACAATGACCGAATCCGATCCCGTCGTCTGCAGAACCGTCGTCTTCTCCATTGTCGTCACCATCATCTGCTGGCTCTGCTCGCTGCCTCGCACTTTTGACGCCCTTTCGAAAGCCGGAACCGCCTCCGCTGCCTTCACCTTCATCTCAGTGCTTCTGGCGACCATCTTCGCCGGCATCCAGGCGCATCCCGCCGGCTACGACCCCCGATCAACGTATGTCGACGAGACTACAGGCACAACAAAGACTGGAGGCGCCCCGATTGTCACGGCCATCCCCATTGCTGCCACGACTTTTGTCTCCGGAATGAATGCATTCCTGAACATCAGCTACACCTTCATCGGCCAAATTACGTTGCCCAGTTTCATTGCGGAGATGAAGGATCCGAGGTAAGTCTACAATCATACTGTTTTTAACATATATGCTAAGTAAGGTCCAGGGACTTCCCCAAGGCCCTCTGGGCTGTCACCATTGGCGAGATCATCGTCTTCAGCATTGTCGGAGCTGTCGTCTACGCCTTCGTCGGAAACCAATACATGACTGCACCCGCCTTTGGCTCCCTCGAGGAAGTCTATAAGAAGGTTTCCTTCTCCTTCATGATCCCGACTCTCGTCTTCCTCGGTGTCTTGTACGCCAGCGTTTCGGCTAGATTTCTCTTCTTCCGTCTCTTCAAGGGCACCAAGCACTTGCACGAGCACACCATTGTCGGCTGGGGTTCTTGGGCCACCATTCTCCTTGCCTTGTGGCTTTTGGCATTCTTGATTGCCGAACTTATCCCCTTCTTCTCTTCCCGTGAGTTTTATTGCAACAACAACACAGGAGCTTTGCTAACTAGAACCAGTCCTTTCACTCATGTCGTCTCTGTTCGATTCATTCTTCGGCTTCATCTTCTGGGGCGTCGCCTACTTCCGCATGCGAGGCGCCGATAATCGCGCCGGCGTCCCCAAGCCTGGAAAACTTGCCGATCTTGCGACGATGGGTCTCAACATCATCATTATTCTCACCGGTCTTTTGTTCCTCACTGCCGGCACATACGCCAGTGTCGAAGGCATCATTGAAGAGTTTAGAGCGGGCACCGTCGGCAAGCCTTTTGGCTGTGCTAGCAACGGGCTTTGAACGGGGCCCAGCATCAGTTGCCTTTGTGCTATTGTAAAAGATTGACACATCACCCGGAGCATCGCTACATGCTCATAATCAGTACTATCGGAGGTAGAGGAGAACTAAAGCAACGATACCATAGTGTTTATTACCACGTACTTTTGGCTATGAATAGACCAATACGCAATCTCCTGATTCATCTTTCGAACTCTCACTGGTGATGTCGTCAATCGTGGAGACCCAATGGTATTGCAGTGCGCAAATTATCTACTTCATGCAACAGATGCTATCTGAGATGCCCGTTCGCTCATTGCCAGACCGTGGAAGTCCCTCATTGCTTTGCGAGCGGTGAAACAGTCATTGCTCATAATGGCAAAGCTGTCCAACAGACGAAATAATCGTGCAGTTTCCACGTCAACTAATGGTGAGCCCCCGTCGTGTTGGGTTCCTGCGAAATCTCCTTTAGTTGGGGATTCCACCGCACAAGCACCACCAGCATTCGAAACTACATATACGTCGGGTCAGAAATGTCTCTCACGCCATGCTTGGACCAGACGAATCACCCCTCAGGCGCGCACATTACCGTATTGATGCTTGAGACATCAACCCCCACTCGTTTCAAGCAACATGGCACATAACGATGATTCAAGATCGGAGTTTTGCCTCGAGACAATTGGCAAATTACTAAGTTGGACAAGATTGTGGTGGATACACCACCATCCCGAGCTTGTCGTTTCTGGAAGCAAATTGTTGCAAGCCCGAGCTCCAAAATCCTCCTTCGAATAACCTCAGGACAACGTGGTCGGACGGTCCGCCTCGGACACGAGCATGAAGGTTTACGAGGAATCCGGGGAGTATTAGCCGCCAGACATGGATGGATAGAATCTCACATCGGACGATCCGCCATACTTTGCCTGAAATGCTTATACTTCCTAGCCCACACTTTCACGTTCGGCTACTCACAGCTCCGGGGAGAGATGTACACAAGCTGTAGGCATCGGCAAAGCTAATTGCCCGGGCTTTTGTGTGTCTGCCTTCTTTTTACACATTTATCTGTATTCTGCGCGCATGTAAGAAACAGACCGACACATCTTCCGGCAACTGGCCTCTCATTCCGCCATTTCTCCTTCGTCCGGCACACCAGCACACCAGCACTTCAGCTCTTTCCCAAGTCGTATTCTTGAAATCGTCGTATTGAGGAGGTCTTTGTCGAAATGGACTCTACCACTCTCCCACTGCACTGGTTCCCGCAACTGGCCAGCCTCCTGTCCCCTTACTCAGCGTTGGCTGTTGTGGTGGTTCTCGTCACAATCCTCCCGATGGTCATGGACCGGGCCACCGCGGAGATACCAATACCCAAAATCGCCAGCTCAAGGTCCTGGTTCGCCAGCAGGCAGGACTTTGCCGCTAATGGCGTTGAAATCATTGAGAAGGGCTTCAAGCAGGTGGAGAGCGGTGTATTTCGAGTGACGGCTCTCGATGGATCCGATTTGGTTCTGATTGCGCCAGAACATTGGCTCGCATTATGCAAGAAGACCGACGAGGAGGTGGCGCCCGCTCGTAAGGAGGTTTGTTCACGAAGGCGTAACCGTCGAGTGATTGTAGCTAAGATTGTCCAGTTCTTCTTGTGCGATTTACACGGAGCACCATTCGAGGACCCCTTTTTCTACCGCTACGTTGCCTCGCGCATATCCGGGTTTGGTGCGTCTCGCACCACTTACCTTCGTGATTGCGGTTGCTGTAAACTAACGATAGCGTGTAACTAAAGATTGTTATCTCGATGTCATATCCACGGCGTTGGATGAGGGTATATGCAGTGCTTTCGATCCGCCATCCCGTGGTTCAAAAGGTGATGGGCTTCTCACTCAGTTACCTTCCCGGTTACCCGCCGCGTATCTCTCAAAGCAAGAGTCTTGCTAACGTTGATCTCGTACAGCACCTACGCGTGTCATCATGCAACCGCGAATTCTGCTCATTTACTCGCGCGCAATATGGAGGGTCATAATGGGGAATAGCTTCAAGCCCGAGGTGGTGAATATCTTCGAAACGTACTGCACAACATTGATATCTGTAATGAAAGCACTGAAGGCTCAACGACCTATAATGGCCCGAATTTTTGCCGCCTTTTCGAACGACGTCCGCCGAGTCAACGCGCAACTCGAGCAAGCCTCAGCATTCTTCGCACCTCTTTTTGAACAATGTTTGCAGGCGTTAGAGCAGGGGCATGCGAAGAGCTCCCTGGACAATGAGTGGCTTGAGGAACTGATCCGCATGGCGCCGGCCGAGAGGAGACGTGACTACACATACCTTACCAATATCTTGATTGGCTTCGTCTTTACGTTTGTCGTCTCTCCTGGACTGTCGACTACGCAAGTTGTGTACGAGTTCGCCTTCCGGCCCAACTATGTTGACCTCGTGCTCAAGGAGGCATATGGTGTCCTTGGAGACCGTCCCGAGCATTGGGGGTTCTCGCGAAACAATCTTCACGGCCTGTCCTTGCTCGATAGCTTCTGCAAGGAGACCCATAAACACCATGCAACCGCAGCCTGTGAGTCTTCAAACTTTGCATCATCTACCAAGTTTACCACCCATCACTACTTTCCCCAAAGGAAGTCCTGATAGCAGAGCGATAACAATCAGCTTACTGACTCCCATTCTGGAATCTTAGCCAATCTGATGAAGAAGATCCACAAAACGCAGATACTTCCCAATGGGGTAGTTCTACCAGCAGGCACGATACTTGAGGTGGTAATGACGGCTGCTCACCTATCCAACCCCAAACTTGAAGATCCCTCGAGGTGGAACGGAAGTCGGTACCACGACTTGCGGCAGGGAATGACAACGTCAATCGGCGCCAACAAATATGATTGGGGCTCAGCGACACAGGACGACCTAAACTTTGGTTATTCCTCACATGCATGTCCTGGTCGTTGGGCCGGGTGCTCTATTGCCAAGATGTTTCTCATTAACCTCTTGGCTTACTACGAGATCAGTCTTGAGGAAGGGGAGACTGAGAGATATCGAGATGTTCACTATGGCCAATATGTGTGTGCCTCTCATTCGTGTGCCTCCCGTGTGCCTCCACTCCGGAATTGGATCATTCTGGGCGTCGCTTCTAGACCGCTGACAAAGTTTCAGATTTCACCGAACCCAACCAAGCATATTATTCTCAAACCGAGAATGCGGCAATGAAGCCTGAACGTATGCATGGGAATGGTCTCCACCAAGGAAACCAACGGGTTTGTGGTCTGACATGGGATTGAAGAGATGATGAGCATTGACTCTAGTGCATTATTAACGGATGCACCATGACAGATCCCAATGGACATAGGTACACCCTTTGACACCTTTAGACAGAAATTCCAGTGCACATGTCTTCTAAGTCCATATTCAGACATACCCGACTTGCCCGATGGCGGCGTTCCCGTCATGACTCGTGTATTGAAGTGCCAGGATCTGTGATGAAATGCCTTCACCAGTGTCTTTGTGCTGCATAATAAAAGCTGTTTGCTTTTCTCAACACATAAGCAGGTCATCCGCATTGACTTGCACATGTCAAACCTCAAAGGAGTCTCAACTCTACCAGAACTCAACCCATCCCAGCTTTCCAAGCATCTGGTGGCTTGAGTTTGCTGATCAACCCGGGGCAGATAATGCGGAGAAATGACGCAAGTACTGGGATTACTCACCTTGTCCCTGCTGATCTCCAACTCCAAGGCCGCAACATCAGATGACTTTGGCTGAAACACAAGTGACGTTCCCGCAGCCCAAGCACCGCCGCGTCTTCAACGCTTCAGCCTCTTGAGCCGTTGAGTCTGATTTCTCTAAACACGCCACAAATAAGTTTGAAAACACCTCAAAGAACCTCATCACTTGAGACAATCCCTTGATCAACTTGGCAATCCATTCGAAAAGCTTGAAAAACATGTCCAACCGAACCATTTGCGATGTCGACACGCCGGATCCTTGGATTGTGGCCGGCAATGGCAAGTTCTACTTCACCTTTACTCTTGACAACCGCGTCGAAATATGGTGCTCCAATACCCTCGAGAACTTTCACCACTGTCACAAGAGTGTCGTTTGGCAACCGGCGCCGGGGACTCCGTGGTCGGTCAATATCTGGGCACCAGAGCTGCACTACCTGAAGGGTCGGTGGTATATCTACACCTGTGGCGCGCCGCCCGGGGTTGGGAACCCGGGCCATCGGACCACGGTCCTCCGATCGTCGTCCCAGGATCCGATGGACGCCTCCGCGTGGGAGTTTCTAGGTCCGCTCAAGGGCATGCCGGATCACTGGTCCATCGACGCCACAGTCTTTAGTCCCAATGGACACGATTTGTACTGCTGCTGGTCCGGATGGCCTCTTGGGGATCATTCCGACACGCAGCAGGACCTGTTCCTAATTAAGCTTGGTGCCCCGGAAGAAGCCATTACAGAGACACTTCTTTGTATCTCGAGGGCCGAGCTCTCATGGGAACGTCCCGATGAGGGCCGCCGGGGCGTTAACGAGGGCCCGACATGGGTCGATATTCCTGGTGTCTTCAGGGGTATCGTGTACTCCGCCGACGGGAGCTGGACTAGCGACTACAAGCTCGGCCTGCTGCCGCTCGTAGGACAGAACCCTCTAGATCCAGGCGCATGGGCGAAGCGATCGACGCCGCTTATGGTCAGTCACAAGCGCTGCGGAGGTCCGTACGGGCCGGGGCACGCAAGTTTCTTGCCAAATCCACATGATCGAACCCGTGTCTATTGCATTTATCACGCGACGGCTAATTATGGTGAGGGATGGGCAAATCGGAAAGCGAGGATCATTGATCTTGGGCCAGAGTGCTTTGGGCCTGATGCTCACTCCATATGCTGCGCGCTGGAACGTCATATTCCGAAGCATGGTCACGATAGACCGCATAAGTCTTCGTGTATCATGTCCTAGTATTCTATGTCTATATGCAAGAAAATCTCTGTTCTACGTCCCTCAAATACAACCTTGTGAATCAGTTCTCCTCGACTGCGAAATTTGCTGGCAGTTTCAAAACTGATAGTCCCAAGTGCTGTTGCGACCCATGAATATCATTCTCCATAAAGCTACCGGCTGAAGCTTTCTTTCCCCCTCTGAACCGAGGTATTGTTACTTTGAACGCCAGAGCCGGTTCAAAGAATCCAGTCCAAACAATGTCGCTCTCAGGAATGCCAAGAGCCTCGGCGACCTTGATAGGAGATAGTATTCCTGACTCTCGAATCGCTCTGAAGGTGCACTCGGACTCGAAGATGACGTCCATTGTGATCTCGTAAGGCCCCGCGTTCTTCGAACGAAGGACTCGGGAGATGTCCGAAAGGGTCTTCGGGTGACCTGCGATGTTCTTTGGACTCGAAGGAGAACCCCGCGGGCTCGCGTGGGCTTTCTTGCCATTTGTGATCGGCCCATCTATCGACTTGGACTCAGAGTCCGTCAGGAGAGGCTGATTACTTCTTGTTCCCTGGCCCTTTCCAAATATGGAAACTGAAGAGCTGAGGAGGCTTCTGTTTCCATGGTTCTCTGATGTAATCGAGAGCCTTTCTTCGCCCGGCTTGAGGTCGATGAGATGGTATATCGAGAACTGGGCACATGGGCCGGTCTCAATCTCTAGTTTCCCAGCAATCCCGAAAGCAAAGTTGCCAGACGTAGCCTTTTGGCCCGCATATGGCCCATGCTGTATTGCTGTTAGAAAGTATCAGGAGTATGTGATAGAGTCATCCTTACAATCAGTGCAATTCTCGCGGTCGATACGAGACTTGTCGCAAGTTCTTGTGTCGGAGCAATTGCTTCCGCGACGATGAATATCTCCCCGGGACCACTGGAAGTACTCTGCCCTTTGCCATAAGTGTGGAAGTCTAGATCCCAGTCACCGGACACATTCTTATGTTGCTGCTTGACGTAGGCTTTGACAAGAATGAGCAAGTCGTCCAACTGCTCAATGAGTATATCTGCTTTTTGTCAGTCCCGCAAGCCTGTTGAATATGGACAACAGCTCCTCTCAATCCAACTCCAACTTACGATCTTTGACACTCCCAAGAACAATGGATCGGTATCCAAGAACGCGTGCAGCTTCTAGCTTGAACTGATATGGTTTGCCATCAGCGATTGACGAAACAAAGCGCGCCCCACGTGCCCGGACGGTACGTTGATCGCTGAGCTGCTCATAGTGTGCCTGGTCGAGATGAAGAGCACCACCGGGCCCTCGCAGGATGTCAGGCCTCGTGTTCTCATACAATGAGTGCGCGGCTACGGATAGCGGCGTACAGCGTGACCTGGGCGCGATTGGTCTGACGTCGAACATGCCACTTTCGTAGACAGTGGCAACAGCGCCATGGGACTTGGGTGTCGAACAAAGCCCCCCACATTCCATTATCTTGCCCATGTGAAGAAAGCCGCCATGTATTGACTCAATTTGATCGTGAGTAATGCCTGGTTTCTGACGTTTGAGCTGGTACATGGAGTATGCAACATAAGGAGCGGGATCGTATGCCCTTCCGCCAATGATGATATCAAAGTCGGGTGTGGCTTCCATGGCATCAACGAACGCCTCGGGGCCTATTTGTGCCACAACACGAGTTGAATCTTGGACATCTTTGGACGTTAATGGGGGCACGCAAACACCACATCCGGAGATCTCGCCAACATCGAGTCGTTCGAGAATGACGGATTTGTCGATACTAGAAAATATGGAGACAGTCTTGAACGAGTATTGCCTTGTTTCATTAGCCAAGGAATGTAGCTTAGGGTAAGGCAGGACTTACGAGTTGCTATCTTCTGCACAAATTTCTTCAATGATTTCTTCCATCAACTTCACGTGTTCGTCGGAGCCATCTCCGCCGGCAGAGCCGAACACCAATGGAACTCGAAAGTCATGTACGAGCTTCAGCAACTTGGTCAAGTCTCTGACGTAGGCTGAACGAGGGCAAGTCATGGTGCCAAGTGCCAGTTTCTCGGGGCCACTATCAGTTGATCCGGCATCTAGGATAATAGCCGTTGGAACGCCGCTGGGAACGAGTTGAGCTAGTTCCTTGCCGCAAGCGTCCTCGTCAAGGCCATACCCCATGCACCCAACTGGTGTAACGATGTAGCAGAGAGGGTGTGGACCCATGCTTGCAGACTCTTCGAGAACAGAACTCATGCTGAGGGTGTGGTGTTTGTTCGGTGCTTCAACAAAATCGACATGAAGAATTGAGATGTTTGGGTGTTTTGATACGGGATTCTCTTTTTGACAAGAGAACGATTCTTAATGATTCTAAGCTCAGCTCTTGAATCAGATCTGGGTCGAATATAAACATGGAATCTCGTTGACCAAGTCGTTGAATCCTGTTCCAATCCTCTAACCCTTCGGTGATCCGGGATTATGGATATTCTCCGTCAATGCCAGCGGAACAAATCCGATTTCCTACGGGCTTGTGAGTGAAAGATAGGATTACGACGCCTTTGTCTCGATGCATTGTTCTGATCGACTGTGTTCGCGTACATTTGGGACGGTAGTCAATATGTATGTGGCTTAGACGTGCTCCCCGTATCCGTGTCCGTAGGGGGCTGGTGGTGCAGATTGGCGCATAGTGAGCTTCCAATCAGAGTAACACCGTTGGCTCGAGCCTAGAAGGATCGAAGAATAACGGCAGCTAGCAAACATGTGGACCTTGGAAGTTGGATCTAAGATTCTAGTCCGTCCCCGTTCCCGTACCCGTCGGAAGAAGTGCACATTGCGTGACGGTCCAGCATGGCAGCGGCAGAGGAACGCGCCAGTTGCTGCGCCGCGCTGTCGCACGCCCCCGCATCGTCTTAGAATGCCACAATGCTTATTTTTTTATGCGGACGACGACTGAGTGGGCGTACTTGGATATCTGGACCACTGTCAGTCGAAGGATCTGGGTTTCTACGTGCTAGCTGGAAGAGTCAAGAGCGTCGTCAACTCCAGCTTGGCGGTCGTAGATGAATCCGTTGGGGACTTCGTTGTCGCTGACCCGTGCTGCTGCGCCTTGGCATCTCCTAGTCTTCAATCCTTCACAGCAATGCCACCGCAGTGTTTGTTGAGAGTAGTTTGCGAGATTGCACACGTTGAAGATGGACATGTTGGCGTAGAGAGAGAATTCTGGGTTTCTTAAAAGCTCCCGGTCTGTTCAAATCACAAGACTGCAATCCCGAATGGAAAGGCATCACACCACCTCTTACCATTGTTCTCGCCGACCAACGCACAATCACACTCTAGAAGGTTGCGCAAATAAGTGCCGGGGGAACACACAGCAAATCGTTGTCAAATCTCATTTTACTCTGCGCGGAGCTATACCTAATTCTGTCTACCCCATTCGCCCGTTTAAAGTTTTGGCAAATATTTGCTAAGCGATGAACCCCTTTCATGATAAGATCAGCCCTGGCGACAGGGGGTCGATCACGACCAACAACATCGAGTTGACGGAGTCGCCCTCTCCGTCCTACATAACAGAGACGAGGGGCGGACGAGAACGAGATCTTGCTCCAGGCGAAACCAGTCGCGTCCGAGACGAGTCAACGAACCCTCTCATGAAGTCAATCAGCACCACGTCTGTCACCAATGTGCCAGAGGAGGAAAAGGACCTGCCGCTGGGCCAGGCCATTCGCCAGTACCCCAAGGTCGTAGCGTACTGCCTGTCGCTGACAATCGTCGTCATCGGATGGGGTTACGCGTTGGTAATTGTCGGCTCCATCGTCGCCGTCGAGCCCTTCCAGCACGATTATGGAGAACTTTACAAGGATAAATGGATTATTCCATCACTCTGGGTGTCGCTGTGGTCGGCCGCGATTCCCCTCGGCATGGCCATCGGCTCCGTCTTTGCAGGATGGTATCAGGATCGTGTCGGGCGCATTTGGAGCTTACGGACAGGTGCGATCATTTGCGCTGTTGGCGTCGCAGGCATTTTCTTCTCTTACCTGCCCGCGGACATCGAGACCATGCGCGCCCTCTTCTTCGCCGGCAAGACAGTCCAAGGAATTGCCATTGGAATACTCAAAGTCACCGCAATGACGTACATCTCCGAGACAGCGCCGACGTCTCTGCGCGCCTCGGTCATGGGCTTGGTGCCGACGGGAAATCTCTTGGGTCAACTGCTGGGATCGATTGTCGTCTTCCTCGTCAACAAAGCACCTAACAGGACCGGATACCTCGTCGCCTTTGGCTCCCAGTGGCTTCTCGCAGTTGTTCCCTTTATTCTCTCGGTCATCATCCCCGAAAGTCCAGCATATCTCGAAGAACGCGGGCAGTCCGACAGAGCTCTCGAGTCCTCGCGCAAACTCTACGCACCTAGAGTGGATGCATTGAAGGTCCTGGAGAAGGTTCGGGCTAGCATTGCGGAAGAGAAGGAGGCTACGTCGGGAGCGACGTACTTGACCTGCTTCCAGGGCGTCAATACTCGACGAACGATGATTGTCATCATGGCCAACTTGCTCCCAGCGATGTTTGGTCTCGATCTGATTGCCAAGTCAAGCTACTTCTTGCAGACCATCGGCATGAAGTCGAGCACCAGTCTCATGATCCTGATCGGCGGCATCGTTGCTGGCACGTTCGCAAATGGCGTTGGTCTGTGGGTTCTGTCGAGAGTCGGACGTAGAAAGGTCACACTGATCTCCATGTCAATCTCCACCGTACTCTGGATCGCTGTAGGTATCTCTGGCATATGGCGAGGACCTGCAGTCGCGTATTTCACCGCCGGAGGGTGCATCGCCATCATCATTGTCTGTGGTATGGGCGCGTGGCCTGCTGGCTATGCGATCATGGGCGAAACGAGCTCGTTGAGGTTGAGAGCCAAAACTCAGGGTATTGGTGGCGTTGCCCAGCAAGGATCGTCTGTGTTGATCAACTTCCTCCTCCCTCTGGCCTACAATCCGGACGCAGGAAATTGGGGAGGAAAGACGGGCTTCATTTACGTTGGGTTGTGTGCTTTCGGAGTCCTGCTTTCTTGGTTCTTCTTGCCAGAGATGAAGGGACGAAGCGTCATGGAGATTGACCACATGTTTAATATCAAGCTGCCCGCGCGGCAGTTCAAGAAGTGGAGAGGCGATGTTGAGTCAAAGTAGAAAGAGTGTAGAAGTAGAACACTTATTTGAGCTTGCCATCAATGTTCAGTTGTATCAATCGGTTACTTTTCCTGCCTTAAGCCTTGGTATGCGTGCTCCAGGCCGTTCTCAAAGCATCTACCACTGAGCTTGTAGGCCAGGCATGCATTGTCTCAAGCATATCCATGAAGCCGACGACAGCTTTCTGTTCCCCCTCGTCACGGAAGTACTCCCCACACAATGACACACCAACTCCAGCTGTGACCATTGATGGTTGATCCTTGCGATTTGATATAGCTAAACCGCAAATCTTCCTGGTCGACTCCCTCAGAGTCTCCTCCAGTACCTGGTTTGCAGCTTGCGCGCCAATGCCTAGCCGTTGGTTCTTGGCTCCGTGCACAGCCAAGACGATTCGCATGAGTTCAATGTGCTGGAGGGCCAGCACCTGACAATCATTGGCATGCCATACTGTGGGAAAGTACTCCCCCCTTTCCGGGTTTCGCTCTTGGTAGGCAAGGGGCTTGAAGTGAGGTGGCTGGTGCGTGTCCCAGTTATGCTGAAAGGCCTCGATGGCTTTCCATTGATCGGCTCGTACTTTCGGATCTTCAGTCTCAACAGTGCCCTCGGAATTCGCACCGAAGCAGAACTTTACGACGTATGCGCACCAGACCAGAATACGATTCGCCCAGTCGAAGTCGTCGGCAACGGAATCGGGGTCGAACAAGGAGCAGTCCTCGGTTCCGTAGAGGGGTAATCGAAATGGCCTTCGATAGAGAAGAACAGACCATATTTCTTGGCGGAGGGCAATTAGAGTTGCAGAATGTCGTAAAGAGGGCATAGTCGGCGCATATATGTCGAGACCGCGGGGAGGGTGATATACGATGCTAAAGAGTCCGATTGTCTCCTCCTGTTGAGCATGGAAGACAGCTTGGACAGCATTGATGTAGGTTTCGTGATCGGTTCCGGTAAGATGCGCTATAAAATCAAGATCATTTAGTAGTGTTCTGCCTTGAAAAGGTTGTCGAATCTCCTACTGTCTACTTGTTCATGATATCGTAGAATCGTAATAGCAGTCAATGCATCGTCCGTACACGGGTTTGCAGGATCAGTCGAAGTGTCCATCAGATAGGAGATGGACTTGCTGTGATAGTGTATAGCCGACTCTTTGTCTAAATCCGGGAGAGGAATCCCATTAAACTCTATAACCTGATTTGGCGGCTTCTTTGACCAGATCTGTGTGAGAAACCTGGCCGATGCGGTACATATTGCGTTCATCAGCAATGGGTTATGCATAGCTCGTTGCGGAACTACGGTAACGTAGTGTCGGTCCCTATCAGTCGTGTCAAACTATGGAAGCTGTTAGCAAAGTCAGGGGATAGAAGTATCTGACCAATTCGTCCAGCATCGAGTATCCAACTTACAGCTGCAGCCAAATGTTCTATGAAGCAACGAATAAGACAACCTTCTTGAAGACCAACATGCAAGTCTCCACCCAGGCTTCTCGATACCGAAGATGATCGTCCGCGGTTATCTCCTAGAGGTAGTTGCCATTGCTGGGAGAGTACGCTCAATCTGCTGCCTCCAGTGTCGGGAGTCCTTCGACCCCATCCATCTGGTATCGACCGTGGAACCGACGGGCTGGGAGCTGAAAATCCAGAGTATGGGGTGTCTATCGTAGAAGAGGCTGCTGGAGTAGCAGCGAGATTGGGATCAATGGCATCTTCAAACGCTATTTGAGGAATATCGTCAGGGGTTGTTTCTCCTCTTGGGGGCGACTGATTCGTTCGAAGTCGAGATTGATGGGATGGAACTCTCGACGTGCCGATGGGCTCGGATGGATTACTGTGTTCTCTTTGTGAGATGGACTGCAGTAGTTCCGCCGCAACAGTTATTTGGTCGTGAATCTGGTCATCGTGTTGGTTGTTTGCTTCTCCATTTTGAGAAATGATATCGGAAATCGGTGCTGTTGATGCATGCTTCAGTTTCGAGGGCGTATCTTCTGATGGAATTCTGGATTCATCGACAATAGCGAGAGGTCGAGCCTGGACTTAATGTCGCCATGTCTCTGTTAGGGCTGAGATGTGTCAACGAGTGGAGAGGGAGAGGGTCGGTCTTACAAGTGTCCGGGGTCGTCTGTAACCAAGGCTGATCGACGTCGAAGGAAAATCGTTTCTCAGTCGTAACTACTCTTTTGAACCTGAACTTGTTGTTCACTCGCGTACACTGGGACTCTGACTTCTTGCAGTGAGAGCATGGGATGTCGCCGTCGCCTAGAGTCCAGGAGAGGTTAATACAACCGGTTAATAGATACTTTAACCGTGAAACCTCAACTCAGGACAAGGTCCGAAGGACGGGAAAAATGGATATTGTCTTACATCTAAGATGTTTTTCTGTATTCCAGTAACCGACGAAATCAGTTCTCGACGTTTACTTGACATCACCAAAATCAAAACAAGGGGTGATGTTGAGGATTTCAGCCCGCGCGTCCCGCGGCTTACTCGGGGTGCGTGTAAGACGGTATTATATCCGATAATGAAGACGGAAAAATCACCAATCATCGAACTCGCAATCCCGCAATAATCCTACTTACCTCTGCATTTCACGCAGGGCACAATCCGCTCGCGTCGCTGTGGTGGAGCCATCCCTTCCCGTCCCCGAGTAGGACAATCAGACCATGGCTAAGATTGAGGAGTGAAGGATGATGGGAAGGGGGAGATGGGATGCATAGGATGGCGCTCAGGTTGGTAGCATTTCGCCGATGGACTGCTCAGTGAGATGGGGCGGTAGAGGGCATATAAAGAGGGACATTACTCGGCGAAAGTAGCGGCATGTGGCCTAGCCGTGGCTTAGTTAGCGGCCTATCCATGCTCTGACTCGCCCTACTTCACGCTGTTCTCATGTTCTTCTACCTAAGCGTGCTAAGTTAATTGTTAGGGTTTCCCCTCAGCCCGTATCCGTGCATGACGCCACGGATGAGTGTCGGTTTCGCTCTTCTACATTTCAGTAAAAGTCTGCCAAATAGGCTCGATTGGACAGAAGTCAACCATCTGGCTATACGTAAACGCGTATAGTGAGTTGTACACGTAGGTTCCCCGAACGAGCAGCGCGCCTTTGTTTTGTCTGCCAGCCGAATCCTCATTTCGTGGAGGGGACAGGTGGAACAATGACGCCCGCGAGACAGTGGCTACAGAAAACATGCCTTGGACAAGATGGAGCCAGGGGAGCGCGCGGATGCAAGATCACCCAGCACGACACTACAATTACTTCAGGTTGTGATAGCTGCACTGGATACTTTTTGTCTTATTATATTTCACTAGACATTTCTCATCAAATCGCTATATTATGATTCTTTCGATTGACCTCAACTCAAGCCCGGGACACAGTGGCCGAGTTGTACTTGGGGTCGGTCCAGACTTCTTCGATGATGCGGCGGCGGATGTCCTGCTCCTCGACCACGCTATTATCACCAAACAGCTCAGAAATCTGTTCGAGAGACTTGTGGGCGGTCTCGGGCACCAAGAAGAAGGAAAAGACACCTGCAGCAACACAGAACAATCCGAAGAACAGATAGGTGCCCCATCCAAGCTTAATGACCATCTCCGGTACGCAGACGCCGATGATGAAATTAGCCAGCCAGATCATGGCAGTCGCAGCGCCAACGCCCTTGGCGCGTTTGGAGTTAGGAAAGACCTCGGCAGGCAACGTCCAGGCAAGAGGGCCGTAACTAAAGGAGCACCAAGTCAGCACGTGAGTATGATGTCGAAACGCGGTTATCAACTTACGAAGTCGCGTAGCAGAGAACGTAGATATCTGCAGAACGTGTCAGCAATTGTCGTTTGCAATCAAGAACCCAGATCAACTTGCAGATGAGGGCGACACCGAACCAGCCCATTGCGGGGTGCTCATCCCACGACGAGCTGAACTTGCCGACAACCCCAGCCATGATCAGGTGGGGAACAGCCATCGCAAAACCACCACCAATGGCGAGCTTTCTGCGACCAACTTGATCTAGGAAAAGGAACGTGGGGATACCGGCAACAAGCTGGCAGATGTTGACCATGCCGGAGAGAATAAGGGGCATGTCTCCCTTTTGTCCCAAGGCGGCGAAGAACGTTGGCGCGTAGTACACAAACGCGTTGATCCCACTGAACTGAAATGGCTGTCAGTACGATGACACCAGGTAGCGCCCATCATGGATCATTACCTGTTGGAAAAATGGAATGCCAAGGGCAATAGTTGTGCGCTTCAGGTATCTGGGCTTGAACAGGTCTGCCCACTGGTTCAACTCTGCCGTGAAAGCGTTGGAGCTCGGGTGCTCCCGAGCCAGCATGGCCTGCTGGAAGCGAACTTCAGACAGGATTCCTTTCCACTCGGCCTGGACACGCTCGTCTGTTGGTGGAACACGGCGCAATTTGGTCAGAGACCCCAGACTGTCTTCATCACGACCCACCATGGCAAGCCAGCGAGGCGAGAAAGGGAAGAAGTGGATTCCAAGACCAACCATCAGGGCCGGGGCCATTTGCAGAGCAAAAGGCAGTCTGAAAGCCCATTCTCCATCCATGTGCCTTGTTGCAAATGTGATCCAATAAGCAATGATGGCACCGATCACGATGCTGATAGACTCGAGTACGAGGAGAGAGCCGCGAAGGTTCGGGGGCGCAATTTCTGAGATGTAGAGCGGCGCACCCATTGCCAGAGTTCCGACTCCAACGCCACCAATGGTGCGGCCCGCCACAAGTGTTCCGTAGTTGTGAGCAGCGGTTTGGATGATGGCGCCTACGCAGAAGAAGAACGTTGCAATAGTCAGAGCCCACTTGCGAGAGATCTTGTCGGCGAGATACGGGAGGAAAAGGCAGCCGATGAATGCTCCGAACTCGAGCATGCCGGTCATGAAGCCGGTGTAGAAGCCATATCTGGGGCCGCCTGGGGCAGTCTCGGGAAACCACTCGTGAAACTGTGGCATGACGAGGATGATGGAGATGACACCCTGGTCTTGTGGGTGTCAGCAAGGTGTTCAGAGATCTCGCACTTTAGAGACAAAGTCCGGGCCCTTACCATAGCCAAACGAGAAGCCGCCGAAAGAGGCAAGCAGCGCGGCACCTAGCACGTATGGCGAGCGCACAATTCCCTTGATGCCATCACTGTCGTAGTTGATAGGCGCATCAGCCTGAGCCAGAATGTTGTTGTTCACATCTTCAACTTGGCTTTGAGAGCCACTGCGAGAGGCTCGCTTTTCCAGGTCGGACATGGCTGGTGCTTCGTGGAGAGAAGAAGATGGTTCAGTACGTTTAACAAAGACAGTCAAGAGGATGAGCTAATTCACAGCTGTCTTGACCAAAGTAGCAGCTTCCAAGTTCGTGACACGACTTGAAGACTGGCAAGAGGTTTGTCCGAGCACAAGCCCATCTAAACATTCTCTGATGAACTCTTTATACTTTCAACACGTCCAAGCTTCCTAGATGGCAAACCGTCGCGAACCTTGGCACGGGCCTGCCCAATCATTTTGCATGTAATCGGAGTGCGGGGAGCAGCATCTCATGAGGTTCTGGGGAAAGATGCCCGAGAGCTAACGATATCCCCCATGGGGAAGAAGCCCTGTCACTCTTTGGATTTGGCATAGCCATTCCCGGGATTTCGTTGATTAGCATGCCAAGAATGATGCAGCTCGTGGTTGGCTAGTTTTGCAACATCGAGCATATCCGTTCATCATCGTGCAAAGGATATGTGTTGACCCGCCGAAACGGCATGGGCCTGAGTCGGGCTGAATCTGTCGAGTCTAGCAACTCTACCGTACGAATCGAGTAGGCTTTCGCCGGAAATCCGGCGATTCTTTGCCTCTTTGGGACAGCTCAAGGCCGGGCCCCGACTACTCCGCTCCGCCAGCGAAATGCAATCTCCACCTCCTCACTCCGTGCTAGGCCATTGAACACCAGACTAAAGACACTGGCGTCATCTCTGGCCTTTCTTGAGACGTTAGATTCAACAATGGATCCGGCAGGGAGGTAAGTTGACCTGACATTTGTCTGTCATCCGGATGTACAGCATGCGGGGACCCGTCATGCAGCTGCGGCAACAGTGAGTACCATGGAATCTAACATGGCAAAGCTTACGACGGCCCAGTCGGATCAAGTCACCTGCTATTGTAAATCACAAGGAACAAAACCTAGAGAACAACACTCTCGAGCTAAGGATGGACGTATTACAGTCTCCGATAATAATCCGGCCATCGGGATGTCCAGCCACGCCGCCGTGAATGACTGCATGTAGAAGCCAACGACAAGGGCGCCGAAAATTACCTGATGAGGAGAAAACATGGAATTAGTTGTACATCACGATGATTAGGACTCCATGGATTCTCCATTCGATTATTGAAGATATGCAGAAGGCGGCAGGACAGTCTAGCATGAATCTGCCTTACAATCTCTTCGAACGGTCATAAGAGCAATATTTCGGGCAAAGTCTTCGTTATTATGCTGCATAGGAACTGTCAAATAATTCTTCCTTGACACATCTGAGATAGCTTGTATGAATAGTGTTGAGAGTTGACGGTTGAAAAATCAAGGCCTCAGATGTATCGCTACTGATGGGAAGCACCTAACAGCGTTCGGGAAAGAATTTGGTGTTTGATATTTCGGAAAAAGGAATTTGCGAAAAGCATCTACTTTATGTGACTTTTGGTGACATATGTGGCATACTGTCATTTGTAAGCTGATGTACAAAGTCGAGTGGGTGATGAAAAGAAGCTTTCATACCCAAGGTGATCCCGTTGCCGCTGTCCGTAAACCTTGGACGCCACCCGCGACCCATCAATGTCCAAGGTTCCAGTCTCATCATGGTGTAGGCTCGGCTGGGACTTTGATAGGATTTCCCAGTTAAATCCATTCCTCGGCATCCCACCCATTTGCGACTTCATCTGCCACGCTTTTTGCTTCTGTTGGTTGTCATTCCCGACCTCTCTTCTAGTGAAAATGTCGAGGAGTAAGACCTAATATGCCAAAAGACGACATGCCTTCAGCTCCATCCAAGCGTACGGTTCTTTTCGACCTCGACGGCACCTTGTTCGATCACTACCACTCACTAAGCTGCGGCATTTCAGCGATTCGTCAAAGGTATTCCGCCCTCGCGAGCTTCGACCTGACGGATCTCATCAATCAGTACAACGCATCCCTTCAATTAGCCTACGATGAGTATCTCCGAGGGATCATAACATACAATGAAGCCGACTACAGGAAAGTCCGGTTGTTCTTTCAGGGATTAGGTCTCGATGCACCAGACGACGCAGGTATTTCCGAATTTCGGGGCGTCTATAGACCAGCTTACCGCGATAGCCGAAGGGCAACTCCAGGAAGTATTGAAACACTTGTACGGCTGCGAATTGAAGGCTTCAGTCTGGCTATCATCACAAATGGCCAGACAAAAGATCAAGTAGAGAAGGCGAAAGCCATTGGGATACATGACCTTGTGGATTACATGATCACTTCGGAGGAAGCAGGTTGCTGTAAGCCAGACAAGCTTATTTTTCGACTCGCCATGGATGTTTTAGGCTGTTGTCTCAGCGAGACCTACATGGTTGGTGATTCTGTAGGGTCTGACGTTAGGGGAGCGCTTGACAGCGGTATAAACGCCATCCTCTTTTCACCAATGTCAACGGATAGCCACCAAGTGGTCAGCGGGAAGACTGTACCCGTTATTTGCAACATGTCTCAGCTCATCGAGGCTCTTGAGGTATCTTCAGGGATACTTGATACATGAGTGGCTTTGTCACGTTGTGGGCGCGAGCTGGCGGTGGCTCGGTGAAAATTGGAAAATTTGTCGTGGTGTGCAGTTGGAAGGCTGCATTGAGGATTTTTTCAAGACTCTGAAAATGGAATCTTGTCTGGAGAGATTGTAGAAGTGGCAGAGTAAGTTGTATTCGATTGCTCTCTACCTATGTAAAGTAGAGAGTGTCATATTGCTATAGCTGTTGCATCGTACCAAACAACAAGCTGAGATCATTCCAACTTCCGCCGCCAGATCTTGACCGGTAAAGCCCCGCAGATGATGTTGAAAGCCTCATGCCTCTGCAATACAAAGTCAGGAGAGGGCAGAGCGAATTCATACCTGTGAACAAGCGAAGCCAAAACCATGATCTGTTCTAGGTACGAAATATTCCTCCCTATACAACCCCTGGCTCCAGTTGAGAAGGGGATAAAATAGGGCTCCATCCGCTTCCTCTCTTCCGGATCAAGCCATCTCTCTGGCTTGAACACCTCGGGGTCCGGAAATATCTTGGGATCCCTATGAGCACCATAGATCGTCATCGATACACTCGTGTCGCCAGGAATCCACTCGTCCAGTATCCGAGCACCCTCTGGTGGTGTGCGACGGGGAAGAGGCGCGGAGGTGGGCGGGATAATACGGAGAGCTTCGTCAATACAAGCCCGCAGGAACGGAAGATCTTTGACTTTGTCATAAGGAGCAATGACTTCATCAGAGTCCAACACGCTGTCAATCTCTTCGCGAAGCTTCTTCATATGGTTCGGGTGCTTGATCAAAATCTCGAGGATGTGCGTCAAGGCGATAGCTGTGGTATCTGATCCAGCGTTGATGATAGCGCCGACTTCTGCCACGATTTCACCCCAATCCAGGTTGTTTGGGCTTCCAGTCTTGTCTTCCATCATACAAGTAAAGAAGTCGTCGAGCTGCTCCCCGCTCTGATATCTGCGCAATCTTTCGGCGGCGGCATGGTAATAACAATCGTCCCATGGCTCAAAGTCCTTCCACATCTTCTTCCATCGGCTGGGAATCGTCTTTGACAGCCACTCTACCCATGGCCAGAGATCGTAGTCCCACACAAAAGCTGCCTGTGCGATGGCTCCTTGGTTCATAGAGTGACGATATCGGGCTTTGTAAGTTGTGCCATCGCGCTTCTCGGCTGTTACAACATCTGTTCCGGTATCTAAGAGATCCATTTGAGTCGAGAGAGTGATGTAGTTGATTGCTTCGATTGTCCAGAGGTTGATCCAGTGGTTGAAGTCGATAGTCAGGTCCGCAGGACAGGGGATGGTGCTTTTGAGAGGGTCGGTGCATTTTCCGTCAAAGGCCTTGAAGAGTCTTTCAGCCGTGTAAGCGACCTTGTACTCCCATTTCTCGAGGTTCTTGATAGCAAAGGCTGCAGAAAGTAGCTTGCGTTTGCGGGCATGTTCGGGCTTATCCACTACATCAAAAAGGTGGCGATGCGTCCCACTCAAGACAACGTAATTGTTATCTTTGACGCACTTGGTACTGTGTCCGTAGATGTCTTTGATAGCTCTAGTATCTCCAAAAGACAGCGCGTTGGGGCCTGTTCTCAAGATAGGAAAGCCGGTGTGTTTGTGTGTTTCGTACAGTTCCTTAGATCTGAACCCCTGGGCGCTGAGATAGCAGTGCCTTAGGTCCGTCAACGGTGACAGGGGCGAGTAGTTGGGGTATTTGCGAAGACCCTTGGGGTCGTAAAAGTACAAGATGATAGGTCGGATGACAAGATAGGAAACGACTGCAAAGGCAACACCTGCCAGTGCAAGAAGACCGAGCATCGTGAAAATCAGGCCAAGTGTGTATGTAGAGGCTGTTACTGTGAAGTCGCTGATGAGTCTGGGGATTATCTGACCACCGCGATTAGTCCTCGTGGGATGTTAAGGAAGCGTCTTATATCTCACTTTCGATGACTTTGAGATCAGGAATCAGTCCAAATCATCTGCAGTTGCTACACAGGCACGCATCTGCCACAAGACATCCAAATCGAGTCTTTAGTTCCGCGGGATACACGCAGCGCTGGATTAACGGCAAAAGCAAGGAACTACAGAGGACGATGCAAACGGCAACTTAGTCCGCAATGATACATCTTAGAATACGAGGCAAGGAACGCGCGGAGGTTAGAGATACTCTGAAATGAGGGGTTGGGCGATCTCTCGAAGAAGAAAGATATCGCCGAAAACTCGGTGTTGCGGATTATGAAACCATCTCGAGATATCTTTCGGCGAAGCATTTCCTAATCTAGGTGTACGACGATCATATGTGAATGCTGGCAGGGCCTAGTCGATGTATCACCTCGCGGCTGACCTCCCCGCATGCGGGGTTGCACTTTCACCCCGTGGGGAGCAAACATCATCTCAATATCTACAGGGCTGGATTGGTGTCGGAGGCTAAAGCATGACAAGGGGTTGGTGTGCAAACCAGAGAGCCGGCGAAATTATCCCATTGTGTCAGGCAGTACATGTTTGAAGCCAG